TATATATATATATATATATATATATATATATATATATATATTCAACTTCAGAATGATGGTGTCCCTTTATTGGTCAATTATGTTGTCAAAAGTGGAGTTACTTGTGTGTTCTTACATCACTGATATACTGCAACAGAAGTTAGGAAATATTAGTGTGAAGTTTTCCTTTCAGAAGGAGTCGTAATACTTGGAAGGTGTACGTCTGTTTTGGAAAATCTTTTGAAATTGCTGTTATATAATTTTTACCTTTCGGCAGAGATGGCAATATTATTGTGCTCATTTCTAGTTGCAAGAGGACTCAAGGATCTGCTTTGCTTTTCTCCTTTCGTATTGTTGTGAGAGAAACTTCTGTTTCCTTGCCATGAAATCCTGAAAACCTCAAGCGACCATTGTTGCCTTACAATTACCATGTGTGTTCTTTAAAATCATGAAAATGTTAGTGAGGTCGAACCATCTTACTTCAAATATGGTGTTAAAATGATAGAATTTGCCTATTTTTTAAAATTATTTTACACACGTTCACATATTTCAAATATTACAGATAGTATCTTCTTTCATATCACAAATAGTATGCGTCCATTTTTAACGCAAAAAGGGGTGACAAGGTGATAAATAGGCTATCAAGCTGTATAAATAAGGATTTTAAACTATTTCAGAATTTAAACTACTATTGCGACGTGTGTTAAAGATTGGTGAGACTCGTGAAAAAGGGGTGACAAGGTGATGTATACACGCAACTTTCGAATTTCCCGTGAAATTTGAAGATATATTGATTAACACATTTTTTCATGCAAGGGTGCACTTTATTCATTTATAGAATCAATTTTCACTTCCTTTTCTGAAATCACTAAGGGTGTGCTTGTTTATGAAATATTTCATTCAAAATGAGTTATTTTAGTTAACTAGAGTTAATTTTGAAAAAGGTAGTATGGTTAATTGTTAGTGGAATTTTAATAATATATTAAAATAATATTTAAAATAAAATGATTATTAATGATTTGATGTAAAAGTATGATATAAATGATTGGAAATGATTGGAAATGATAGGTAGTTAAAATTATGTGAGTGGATGAATAATGAATTAAAGTTGATGTGATATGTAAGAATGATTGGTTTATAATATTTAGTTATATAAATAATATAAATGATAGTGGATGTGAGTTAAAGTTGAGTTAGATTTTGAGTGTGAAATGAATTATTTCATAAACAAGCATGCCCTAATCAACTTACTTATTTCCTTCTCTCTCCCCGAAATCCACTGCAGAGTTACTATATGCAACCAAAATCATGGTTGTTGATCCTCAGAGATCAAATGAAGAAAATTCTTTAACAAGTTCAAAGTAAGGAGACTGAGTGTACATGGAAGACAAGGCTGATAGCCCGAAAAAAGGCAATCGATAACTAACAAGATATTGACAGCACAAAATATCCCACCCAAAGCATCATCCAAACCTTCTGCCATTATGTTCGAATTTGAGAGAAACAAATTTCAGTATGGAAAATGAAATCGTTCATACTCAGGTAGTGATGGGCCACGAAAATCATCTGCCCAATAGAGAAACACGGTCTTTTTGCACAGCTTGGGCCAAATTAATGTCAAACAGCTCACACCGGATAGGCATCTCCATCTCATAGAATGGGTTCTTCAGAACATAATCCGTGTACAACTCGTATATATGCTTCAATAGAGCTTCCATGTGCAGAGTTCCAGGCTCACAGACCACAAAGAACTTCGTACCTATGACAAAAACAATTTAGTTTGAAACTTTTGGTTATTTCATTGGGGATCTGAAACTGGTAAAATCACAAGACAAAAAAGGCTTTCACAAATCTTAGCTGAGACAGGAAGTTCAGCTAAATCAATCGCTAGTCCAAAAAAGGGAAGCTTAAATCATTATAGTAAAAGAACCTGAATTAGTATAGACGTTATCCCAAAAGAACTATCCACACCACTTTGGTTGCAGAAGATACAAACTCAAAGTAAAAGCTTAAATCATTATCATTAAAACCCGCACATGTAGAGCCCGGTAGTCTACCCCAAAGGATTAGACATGATGTATTTTCACAATAACTTGCTTAATGATTTTCATGTTATGGAAGTTACTGGATTATATAATTTTTGGTCCGACAAACACTAATCAGGACTGAGCATGGCAAGACTTTTCCGAGCAACCTGTCCAATTCAATCTTGAATTCTAAGCAAAAATGTATGCGTGCAAAAAATAAAAAAGATAAAAATAATTGTTTTCCATCCCAACATTCACCATCAAGCCCAACAGCATCAGTTTTATCAAAATAACGATCAGAATTAATAGTAGACCATGAAAAACATCGAATTCAATGGGGCCCATCAAACCCAATAACATTTGTTGCATAAAACATACTACGTAATTAGTTCCATCACAAACGTAGGAAGCTCCAAAATATTTCATGTAACAAGAATTGGAAAAGATAAAAACAAGAAGAAAAAAAATCCCACCTGTGAGAGACTGAAAGCAGTGAAGATCGAATGTATCAGCCTGAAGCAGCTCGATTCCAGAGCACCCGGAAATGGGCGAAAGCTGCTGAGAGATGGCGTGCATAGAGTGCCATAAGCTCGCTAGTCTCAAACTATCATTTGTATCCATTCTTCCAGCCGAACCATAATCCTAGACAACATAAAATATTCTACTTTTAAAGTCCTGTTCCCTAACAAAAAACACTCGTATAGAGCAAACTGTGAAGATTGAAAAAACAAAATGTATTTATAGCAAGGTCTACCTTATAAAAAATGAGGCCACCTGATTTGTTGATGATGTAGAGGCTGTAAATGGCTGCCATGGTACTTCGATTTGAGAAGGTATAAAGATGCAAACTACTCCATGCGTGAGAAAAGTTAAGAGTATGTCTGTTAAACTCAGCAGAAGGTTGTACAATCTTTTTCTTATTCAGATTTGCGGATTCTTTTTTGTTATTAAAATACCATTCATTACCAGCTGACATCTTTGGCAATGTATCGTAAATCCTACCAAATGAGATTATTACCCAAAAACTGAAGTGAACCAGTACATGAACATAATAATAGGGTTGATATCAATAAGACCAAACCGATACCGAACCGGTTATTTCAGTAACAACAAAATCTGGAAATTTCGGTTACCGATTTCAATTGGTTCGGTAACGGTTTCTTACCGAAAAAACCGAAATTCAACAAAAACCACAGGGGAGCTCAAAAAGAAAGACTCTGTTTTGCAAATTATGTAAAATGCAATATCCTCCTGGCCTTTCTAAGAGTGTCACAAAGCTACTGCTCGTTTACTAAACTAGTTTCGCATGAAGTAACCACATCCTCAATTGCCATTTAATGTTTTCAGATCTATGACAAGCCTGTAAGCTGATTAAGGCAAAAATTAGGGCAATACATCAATATCAAAAATTGTACTCTTGGACGGTGATGCCGATTCAGTACCAGGTAAAGGCAAACGAATTTCATTATTTCAGTAATTAAAAAGTACTTGAATTCCACGAATTTTAGTACCTGAATTTGTGATGCCGCCGGTGCCGGAGAGAATGCCACTGAGAGTTCCACCAGCCAGAGAGAATTCTGGTGTCGGTGCCGATTAGAGTGAGGAGCGAGCTTGAACTACGGCTCTGCCGCTCTGGTTTCTTTCTTCTGGTTGGAATCGAGCGCGATCTGTGAATGGGTGAGAGGGCCGATTTTATTTATTTATTTATTTATTTTTGTTAATGGGTGAGACTTCTAAGTTGTATGGCTGTAGACAAGCCGAGCCGAGTCAAGCATTAGCCTTATCGAGCAGGATTAAATTTTTTTTTTAGTTGCTCAAGCTCGAGCTTGATTTTTTAGGCTCGAGCTCGACTCAATAAAAAAAATACAATAACTCGAGCTCGACTCGAGTTCTGTTCGAATATTTTCAAACAACTTTGTTAAATTATATATATAGAAGGGCATTTTAGTAATTTACCATATATCTCGAAACATTCACGAGCCGCTCGACAATGTAAAATATGGGCTCGAACTCGACTCGAGTTTGTGCTCGATCTGCTCGAGCTCGACTCGAGTTTGGTTAAACTCGAGCTCGAGCCGAGCGCGCGCGAGCCGCTCGACTCGTGTGCAGCCCTAGTTCTAAGTTAAGTTATTAGTATTAAATTTTGCAAAAAGAAAACATAATGGTTATTAGTATTAAGTTATTACTTATTAGTATTAAATCTATATATGTATAATTGCTAGCAAGTCATTAAATAAAACATAATAAATTTTACCTATGTGACAAATCATTAAATAAAACTTAATAAATTTTACCTATATACAATTAATCTACCCTATCTCATTAATGATATAAAATGTTCCATTACACTTTTTTTTGGTTAATTAAGACAAAAATTGTTACATTAATTGAGTAACAATTATATTTTTTTTATTGAATTATATAAGTTGTTGTTAATAAGATTTTGAATTCCACAGGAGTCGACCAAAAAAAATTAACTCAAAATAGGAGATAAGGATTTGAAATCCATCGATATATTAGAGATCCAGGCAAACTAAACTGGATTTATCCATTAAGGTATCAAATCCAAAGAAATTACGCCCCCTAAAAAGAAACCATGTCATAAAAGATTTGATTGATTAACCAGGAAGCGTCAAGTGCTCGCAGATCCAAAAACCCAACAAAATCAGATCGATCAACTCGCAGCGGATTCATATAAACATGACCATTCATAAACCGATAGCAAATATTAATGAATTTCAAGAAATTATAGCAAACGGAAGTCGGCATTCTGGATCGGGAGATCGGCATCCCATGTTCACAAATATATGAAACAATAAAGTGACGAATTTACCAAATTAAAAACGACGAAAAGGGGGAAGAAAGCTTACAATGTCAAGAAACGCAGAAGAAAAGAAAATCGATTTGGTGAGTGGAGAAGGGCAGATCTTGTTTCGATGGAGCTGCCCCTTTATACGCTAATAATGTGGCTGTTTATGCCCAAGATGTGAAAGACAGGTACATTTATATAATGATATTTTGAAATTTAAATTAATTATTTTTATCATCCCATTCCAGTGTTTTAAAACGCGCATAGCGCAACGCGTCGCGTTTTGGTCCTGATATTGCGTAGCGTAAATAGCGTAGCGCATTGCGTAAGCTATTCGAGCAGTTCACTTTAAATGCCAAAAATAATAATATATATAACCATACAAGTAAATAAATAATTAAAATAGTCTTAAACCATAAATTTAGACATTAAATCTAAAAAACAACATTCAAATATTAGTTCATACAACAACCCAAAGTCATAATCTTCAAAGTAAAGACTCAAAATCTAAAAATAATTGGCCTCATCCAATTCATTATTTGACTGTAATAAGAACAGTAATCACAACAAAACAGTAATCTCTTCATCTATCCAGTTATGTTTGGATCCATTTTCTTAACCTTAATAATAAACAAACTAATAATTTAAGTTTAGAAACATTTAATCAATCATTCTAATAAAAAACAACTGCATACTTCTTTAAATACCTCACTTATGTTCCATTACCAAATGGAAATAATTCAGGACACAATTCATTTATGTCTTATATGTTCCATACTCAGATATTCAAGAACCAGGACACACTTCAACTACAATAGAATCATCAAATTAAATAGATTTGTTCTATACTTCTAGTCTTCTATATACTCTGAATCATTAAAAAAAATAGCCAGACCCAATCAGCAAATAGGCAAATACACATAAAAAAAATGCAATCAAACATCAATCTCCATCAATCTTTATATCTCACTCTAATTTAAAAAAAAAAATCGAAAAATACACATAAAAAAAATGCAATCAAACATCAATCTCCATCAATCCTTTTATCTCACTCTAATTTAAAAAAAAAATCGAAATAATTCACTAGAAGAGGGCCAATTTCAATTCATGTTCTGTGAAGCAGCTTCAAAAAAAGAAAAAAAAAAAATGAAAGGCGAGAGCGAGAAAACGAAATCATTCACTGAAGCTATTAATAATCTCAAATGAAAAACAAAATGATACCTTTGCAGTTGAAAGTCGAGGTGCAACCGTGCAAGGGAAGTAGGGTACAAAGAGCCGAGGAGAAGGGACTTTGGGGGTGCCGAGAGCTGGGCGAAAGGCGAGAGCGAGAGACGAGAGTCGAGGAAACAGAGGATGTGAGAAGTGAAATGATTAAGAGAGCTGGGATGTGGTGGATCCTTGGAGGCTGCGGTGGAGAGGCCGAGAGGGAGATGATGAAGACAAGTGAAATGAGGGTTTCGTGAATTCTGATTTCTGAGTTTCTGATTGTGATTTTCGTCGCCTTCAATTTTGTTTTTCTTTCTTTTTTTTTTTTTTTAATTTTCTGCCTTCAATTTTTTTAGAGTCCCAAATAGCGTGCAGAATTTAAGCTATAGCACAAATCGCGTACGCTATACGAAAAATGCCACGTCATTAAAAGCGTACGTTATGTTGGAACTGCGCTAAATTACAAGCGCTATGGCGCGTTTTTTAGAAGATTTGTGCTGTTTCGCGCGACGTAGCGCGCTAAGCTGCGCTTTTAAAAACACTGTCCCATTCCCATTCATTTGCATTTAATAATAGATTTGTTGGTGGCAATAGAAATCTAGTACTCCCTCCATTTTGAAATATAAGGCATTTAAGGTTATTGCACAAATATTAAGAAGACATTAATTAATGAATAAATTGACTAAATTAACCTTATTTACTCTAATCACAACCACTCCACACTTCCTTAATTTCAACACAATGAGGGTATATTTGGAAAAAAATGCAAAAAATTGTCTTGATTTTTGAGCGCGCCTTATATTTCAAAAAAATTGAGAAATCTTTATACGCCTTATATTTCAAAATGGAGGGAGTAGTAACATGCTTAAATCCACATAAGTAAATTGTTTTAAGTGGCATGTAGTATGAGTATTATATTTAAAATGATAATTTGAACAATGACGTATCACATTTTATAAATTTGATATATACTTATATAAAGGTGGTTAGAAAAATATATAAATAGTAACATTAACTTTTCAATTAAATAATTTGACTTCTATTATTGGATTTTTTTTTAGAAAAAACGGCATCTTTTATTGTTTTTTAGAAATCATATCATGATTGTTACTAAAAGTGAAAAAGTAATTTATAATTTTCGAAAATCATGATCAGTGGTCAGCAAAATCGAGTCGAAATCGAAAAATCAAATCGAATTGAGCTATTCGGTGCGGTTCGATTTTCTGTCCGAATGAACCGAATCGCACCGAATATCATAAAAATTTGGACACAACATACACAAACATTTACCTTTAAACTTAAAAGTAAAAATTTTTATTGTTCGAACATTAATTTGTGCTTATCCTTTCTTAATTTCGGTTAACCGAAAAACTGCACCGAATCGAACTGAAATTTTCGATTCGGTTCGGTTCGGTTTGATTTTTCTTTATATTGCGGTGCGGTTCGGTGAAGAAATTGAGGGACTCCTTAATGAGGAGAATATCATTGCTGAGTTAGCTTTAGAAATGGAAACTGAAGAGTAACTTACAATAAGAAAGGTACTCACTCCCCCATCAGAGATGTGATAGTCAAACCAGACCAAAGGGGCAAACTTGAAGACTTGGAGAATGTCTAATTCCCAAGAAGGAAGACTAAGAAGGAAAAAATAGACTTAAGATTGATTACATACATCTTTTAAATGTTTCAAGTTCAGAAAACAAGATAAAAGAGCAAGCCAAAGACAAATTTTTCATCCTACTAGTCAAACAGTACTACTAAGTTACACGACTGTGTATCATAATTCATATCCCATATACTATAAGTACTCTTGCAAATGTAACCTACATAAATTAATAAATAAATTATCCTCCACTCCAATATAACCTACATAATAAGTTATTATCTCCAAAGCTTGTTAAGCTAGGACCAAGTAAATCCGTTTTGCATGTCTATGTTTAGAAAGAGCACTTGGCCAGCTGTGACGTGATCAAAAGCATCAATCCCCAGTTTTGTGTTCATGAATATTGGCGGACGAAAGTGACTCTAAGTCAAAATCAACATCGACTGTTTGGTTGCCTTTCTTATGATCACCTCCTAATTCTTGAATATTGTCATTGTCACCCTTTAAATTGCAGATTCTTTTTTGTTATTAAAATACCATTCATTACCAGCTGACATCTTTGGCAATGTATAGTAAATCCTACCAAATGAGATTATTACCCAAAAACTGAAGTGAACCAGTACATGAACATAATAATAGGGTTGATATCAATAAGACCAAACCGATACCGAACCGGTTATTTCAGTAACAACAAAATCTGGAAATTTTGGTTACCGATTTCAATTGGTTCGGTAACGGTTTCTTACCGAAAAAACCGAAATTCAACAAAAACCACAGGGGAGCTCAAAAAGATAGACTCTGTTTTGCAAATTATGTAAAATGCAATATCCTCCTGGCCTTTCTAAGAGTGTCACAAAGCTACTGCTCGTTTACTAAACTAGTTTCGCATGAAGTAACCACATCCTCAATTGCCATTTAATGTTTTCAGATCTATGACAAGCCTGTAAGCTGATTAGGGCAAAAATTAAGACAATACATCAATATCAAAAATGGTACACTTGGAAGGTGATGCCGATTCAGTACCAGGTAAAGGCAAACGAATTTCATTATTTCAGTAATTAAAAAGTACTTGAATTCCACGAATTTTAGTACCTGAATTTGTGATGCCGCCGGTGCCGGAGAGAATGCCACTGAGAGTTCCACCAGCCAGAGAGAATTCTGGTGTCGGTGCCGATTAGAGTGAGGAGCGAGCTTGAACTACGGCTCTGCCGCTCTGGTTTCTTTCTTCTGGTTGGAATCGAGCGCGATCTGTGAATGGGTGAGAGGGCCGATTTTATTTATTTATTTATTTATTTATTTATTTTTGTTAATGGGTGAGACTTCTAAGTTGTATGGCTGCAGACAAGCCGAGCCGAGTCAAGCATTGGCCTATCGAGCAAGATTAAATTTTTTTTTTAGTTGCTCAAGCTCGAGCTTGATTTTTTAGGCTCGAGCTCGACTCAATAAAAAAATACAATAGCTCGAGTTTGGCTCGAGCTCGACTCGAGTTCGGTTCGAATATTTTCAAACAACTTTGTTAAATTATATATATAAAAGGGTATTTTAGTAATTTACCATACATCTCGAGACATTCACGAGCCGCTCGACAATGTAAAATATGGGCTCGAACTCGACTCGAGTTTGTACTCGATCTGCTCGAGCTCGAGCCGAGCGCTCGCGAGCCGCTCGACTCGTGTGCAGTCCTAGTTCTAAGTTAAGTTATTAGTATTAAGTTTTGCAAAAAGAAAACATAATGGTTATTAGTATTAAGTTATTACTTATTAGTATTAAATCTATATATATATAATTGCTAGCAAGTCATTAAATAAAACCTAATAAATTTTACCTATGTGACAAATTATTAAATAAAACTTAATAAATTTTACCTTTATACAATTAATCTACCCTATCTTACTAAATCATTAAATAAAATTAATAAAATTTTACCTATATACAATTAATCTGCCCTATCTTATTAATGATATAAAATGTTCCATTACACTTTTTTTTTGTTAATTAAGACAAAAATTGTTACATTGATTAAGTAATAATTATATTTTTTTATTGAATTATATAATTATAATTATTTAAAATAGTTATTATATTTTTCACTAAATGATATATGAAAGTTACATAATCATAAAAGATTATATTGCAAAAACTTTTGTTCAAGTGATTTATTCTAAAATTACTATTTTATTTTATTTTTTCTGATTAAGTGGTTGTTTTTTTTAAATAAATTAATTTTTTTAATGTTATAGTAAAATTTTTTAAAATCGCATAAGTAATTATTATAATAAATTTAATATTTTTTAATTAATTAATTAGTGATGATTCCTAAAAATTATAAAAATTATTATTAATTTTATTCAATCAATATAATGGTTTCTCAATCTTCCATGTTTAGGTTTCGAGGGTTATTAATTGACAACCCACATAATGTGTATTTTTTTTTTGAACTTTCTGCAGCTACCTTGTAAAAGGCACGAGCTTTTAGTTCTGAGGTAGTGTCGTAACTATGGCCACGTCTCAGACAGAGAAAGCCATCGCCATTGCCGCTACCAAACTCTCCCATTCACAATACGAAAACCTTCCCATAAATCACCGCTCTCTATATCTCGATCTAACTGCCAATAAGAAGGAAAACAGATAGTCGCAGTAATGGCAGGGCATGACAACCCTCAACCAACACTCGAGATCAAGAAGCTCAGATTCACCTACCCTGGAATCGACGGCCATCCTCCGCCGGGTTCCACTCCTTTGATCGATGATTTCTCCCTCACACTCTTCCCCGGCGATCGCTGCCTCCTTGTCGGTTCCAATGGCGCCGGTAATTTCTCTCTCTCTCTCATGGGTTTATCAGTGTTTTCCTTTCATGTGGTGTGGCTGAGATTGATGTGGAATTTAATTAGGTAAAACAACAATTTTGAAAATTATTGGGGGAAAGCACATGGTTGAGCAAGATATGGTGAGGGTCATGGGGCGATCCGCGTTTCACGACACCGCATTGACTGCCTCTGGTGATCTTGCTTATCTTGGTGGTGAGGTACATTTTCGGCAGCTCCCTTGTTTTTTAATGGTAGTTTTCCTTACTATTAATGTTGAAATGTTTGGAATGTGGGAGGTTGTTGTGTTCATGGTTGTCGTTAGTGTAATATGGGAATTTTTATTGGTATTATGACGTAAATGTGCTATAATTGCTGAACTGTGAGTCTGTGAAGATGAAAGTTGAATTTGAAAATTCAACTAGAAGTACTATCTTTCTCATCACATCTCAATGCTAGCTGGCTTAACAGTATGCTGTAAAATTAGCTACGCGATGCACATTCTTTGTGCAAGGGAAAAGGCTTAATTCCTCTACTGAGTGCAATTTGCGTCTCAAAGTCTTGTGTGAAAACTTGTTTATTTGCAGTGGAGGCGTGAAGTTGCTTTTGCTGGTTTTGAGGTTCCAATTCAGATGGACGTTTCTGCTGAGAAAATGATATTTGGAGTAGCAGGTATCAATCCCCAAAGGAGAGATGAACTAATTAAGGTAGTTTTTTTAGCTTGGATCTTATTGGCATTTTTCCCTTCAGGGTTGTTTTCTTTTCCCAAAATGTTGCATCTTGCTCTAGTAAAATAGGATACAGTTCCGTTGACTGATGGAGAATACTCCAAACATATGTGACCTTTCAAATGGGTTTGATTGACCAGATCAAAGTCTTATGTGTCTGCCAATCTGAATCAACCTAGGTTGAGCAATAAAACCTAGCAAATGTCAGTTTGTTTCAGCAGCTGTCGATAGAACATGGAACAGTGGTATCTTGTCGTGCTCGAGTTAATTAAATATGTAATCATATTTGACAATGAACAGAAAACATACCATATATATTTACATCCTTCTCTAGACAAACTCGCTTTATTCAGTAGGTCATTTCTAAATGGGCAAAGCTTGTGTACATTTACCTCAGAAATATTATATTCTTCCAAAATTGCAGGTTTTAGGCATTGACCTCTCCTGGAGAATGCACAAAGTATCTGATGGCCAAAGAAGGCGAGTCCAAATCTGTATGGGTCTTCTAAAGCCATTCAAAGTGAGTTTCTCTGTTATTAACAATCGAGTTTTCTTTCATGATGGTCATTTATTTAATTGTATTGACATTGTTATGCCTGTTGTCCCCAGGTCCTCCTGCTTGACGAGATCACTGTTGACTTAGATGTGCTTGCCAGAGCAGACCTCCTAAAGTTTCTTAAGAAGGAATGCTTAGAACGAGGTTCTACCATTATTTATGCCACCCATATATTTGATGGGCTCGAGGATTGGCCATCTCATATTGTGAGTGCGACTCTTAAACTTTGTAGTGCACACCTCATAAATTGCTACAACTATTTGTCATCACATGCATTGATTTTTTTTTATTTTTTTATTTTTTTTTTTTGTCAGGTTTATGTGGCTCGCGGGAAATTGCAACTAGCAATGCCTATGAATAAAATCAAGGAGATAAGCAATCTGTCACTTATGGTCAGTTCCTCTATTAAATTGGCTCATCAAAGAATATATTAATGCTGTAAAGGGAATTCACAAGTGTCAAAACCTTTTTTCTATTTGTAGAGAACTGTGGAGAGTTGGTTGAGGAAAGAGAGAGACGAGGAGAGGAAATTGAGAAAAGAGATAAAGGGCCGTGAAGCGGGTGATCATAGCCCTGCTAGTGCTCGGGTACTGAACAATGGATGGGCTGCTGGGAGGCTGAGTTCGACTGTAGCTGGTGAAGGAAATTTTATCTTGAGTTCTAACAGAGTCCTCAGGTGAATCTGACATTGTTGTGCTAAACCAGAAGTTAAGAGAGTTCGGCATAGGTATTTTATTTGTTTGCTGCAGCCTTCTTGTAATAATTAGGTCCTGCAATGGACTTATGCAGCCTTGCTTGCGTTATATTTTATAGTGGCCAGACAAAATCGTATTGAGTTGAATTTGTGGTCGAGTGCATTTATCCATTGCAGTCGCATACATGCTTTTTATGTGCACTACAGTTTATTTTCGACATGCATATAGGCTCATTTGTTTTCGGTGTTGAGTTGGGGTTACATTTGTAATGCATTTGTTTATGATCTACGAGGTTTGCAGAAGCCCAGCTATACACGTTGTAGTCTTCATGTTTTGCTATTTATTAAAATAATAATAATAATCAACCTCATTATTCAATTCGAACCAAACCCACACTGAGAATAATGTGCAGACTCCGTCAATTGAGAGTTCAATTTGCCATTTCACACAGAGTTCCAAAGTATTCATACTTTGATGTCACTTTAGTGTATTTGAGAACGAGAATTTATTGGACATTTGCAGCCGAATCTACAAGTTACTCTCGCTTAAAAGTTAAGCGTACTGAATAAACCTTTATAAATGATGTCGAGTGTTCCACCACATTTTCTTCTGTGAAACTGAAACATTTAAAAATTGGTGATGTTTTTGAGAACATCACCAACACCACCATTTTATCACTCATGGAAACAGAAAAAATAAAGGCCAAAAGGGAGGCATAGTAATACTGAAATTCTATGTTGGCAGAAAGTCACAGTAGAAAATGTCAAAATAAACCGTACTACGACAACTAAGAAAAAAAAAAAGAAACAAAGAGTAATCATTGTAAAGGATTACAAACGCATAAAACTGGCAAATAGAGAATCTTCACTTCAATGAGATCATCGATAGCAAAAGCCGCGGGACATCAAGCCTGCAATGCCGATAATGGAACAGAATAAAACACGAATCAGAAAACCTCAGTCAGGCCAATGGAAATAATAATAATAATAATAATAATAATAATAATAAACGAATCAGAAAACCTCAGTCAGGCCAATGGAAATAATAATAATAATAATAATAATAATAATAATAATAATAATAAGTCAACAAGATCTGCTATTTTTCGACAGAATAACAGGAAGGTACCTTGTTGGCAATGTTGTTGGAAAGCCAGTCGAGACCCTCATATAGATAATAGAATAAGTGTTCTTCATTTTAACAAAATCGCATTTTGTATTTAACACTTTGTAAAGTTGCATTCAGTATTTTAGCTTAGTATTGTATTAGGTATTTTATCTTTATGTATTTTATATTTTAGGCCCAAGTATATAAAGACCAAAGGGCACATCTTGTACTCACTTTTTCTCTTTTCCCGTTGAATGAAACCCTAATCTTTACTCTTCTCTCTTCTCTTAATTCTTCTCTTTTCTCTACCGATTTCTCTGTTCAATATGGTATCAGTTTCCTGAGATCGATCCTAATTTCCGCTGCTGAGATCTTTTGATTATTCTTTGAATCGATTCGACATCCATCGTTTCGATCGTGTTTTTTTTTCTTCTACTACAAAATCTAGATCTGTCTGTTCGATATCTGTGATGGCGACTTCTCGTTCAATCCCGACCGACGATCCTTCTTCTCCGTTCTTCTTGCACGCCAGCGACAATCCTGGTACTCTAATCGTCGCAGAAAGCTTTTAAGGAGACAACTACGTTTCGTGGTCGCGAGCCGTGTCTATGGCCTTGAGCGTGAAGAACAAGCTCGGATTCATTGATGGTACTATTGTGATTCCCCCTGTGAGTGATACTGTTACCTTCTTAGCCTGGACTCGTGCGAATAATTTGGTTCTGTCATGGCTATTGAATTGTATTACCAAAGATATTCGCCAATCCTTATTATTCTTCTCTTCGGCTAAAGATGTTTGGGATGAACTTCATACTAGATATGCATTGAGCAGTGGTCCTCGTGTTTTTTAAATCGAAAAATCATTGAGTACGATGGACCAAGGCTCAATGACAATTACTCAGTATTATAATTCTTTCAAAACTCTGTGGGACGAGTATTTTACCTATAGACCTGTAATACGGTGTACTTGTGGAGCATTTTCATCCTGCACCTGTAATATTTTTGATTCTATGACTGCATCTCAACAGTCTGATTCTGTAATCAAATTCCTTATTGGCTTGAATGATTCATACTCTACCCTGAGGAGCCATTTTTTACTATCCACACCTTTGCCCAATCTTTCTAAAGTCTATTCCCTACTCCTTCAAGAAGAAAGCCAGAGATCCCTTCACTCTGCACCTAAACCTATTGATACCCTTGCCATGTTAGCCAATACCAAACCATACAGACCTCCTTTCAACAAAGACAAACCTAGACCGAAATGTTCTCACTGTGGATACCTTGGTCACAATAGTGACAGGTGCTACCAGTTAATTGGTTATCCTGCTCACTGGACTGGTCCTAGAGGTCCAAGACAATCATCCAAACAACATTCAGCCCACTCTGTTACAACTGACCCTGTTTCACAACACTCTGGGAATATTACTCCTAATTCCATGACTGATCATCTCTTTTCTGAGTTCTTAGCATTTAAAAGTGCCTATGAGCACAAGCAGGGAAACAATAGCACAACTCCTCTGGCTAATCCTGGTGCTATGTCTAATCCTGCTGTGTGCTCTGCCATATCAGTTCCAAATTCAGGTACATCATGTTTAGTTCAATCATCATCTCATAAACATACATGGATTTTGGATACAGGGGCCACAGATCACATGATATATGACTTAAACCTTTTTCAAAATGTTACTATTTGTTCTGTGAAAATCAATCTTCGTAATGGCCAAAGTACAATTGCATCTCATATTGGTCATGTTCAATTATCATCTGACATTACTTTAGTTGATGCTTTATATGTACCTCAATTTCATTTCAATCTCATTTCCATTTCCAAGCTCACTGCCACAAATAACTGCGTTGCAAATTTTTTTGCTTCATACTGCATCATGCAGGACCTGAAAACTCAAAAGATGATTGGTTTTGCTGAAGCTAAAGCTGGGTTATACCACTTTACCACTTCACCAAATCCTTCTATTTTCAATTTTCCTGATTTACCACCAAATGTACACATCAATCCATCTTTTGTATCTTCAAATTCTTCTATATCATCTACTTCTGTAAGTTTCAAAACTTAGCATTCCAGACTTGGACATTTATCATTTCATAAGCTTGAACAATTACATCTGAATATCAAGCAATGTAAGTAATCCATTGTTCCTTGTGATATCTGCCATTTCTCAAGACAGACCCATCTCCCACACAGCATATACAAAACCAAAGTTCTGAAACCACTACAAATGAGTCCCAACTACCCCAAATCAGGAGATCAACGAACCAGGACAACACCATCTTACCTCAATATATATAAACACCCCTTTCAGTCATCCTCCAATCTTACAACTTCTGAAACACAACATTCTCAATCTGGAAAACATTCCATGTATCCTTTATCTTCTTTCTTATCTACCTCTAATTTGTCATACAATCATACTTGCTATACTGCTGCTATCAGTCAGATTACAGAACCTAAAACCTATAAACAAGCATATAAGGATCCCTTGTGGCAGGAAGCAATGAGTAAAGAACTAGGTGCTTTAGAGAAAACTAACACCTGGTTTCTTACAGATTTGCCTCCTGGCAAAAATCCTATAGGCTGTAAATGGGTATTTAAGGTTAAATATAAATCAGATGGCTCTATTGAAAGATACAAAGCTCGATTGGTAGCCAAAGGCTACACACAAGAAGAAGGTGTTGATTACTTTGACACTTTCTCTCCAGTTGCAAAAATAACCACTGTAAGATTACTTATTGCCTTAGCTTCCATTAAAGACTGGCATTTGCACCAATTAGATGTAAATAATGCCTTTTTACATGGAGACCTTGATGAAGATGTATATATGTTCCCACCTCCTGGTTATTGTGATGAAAATGATACTAGAGTATGCAAGTTAACAAAAAGCTTATATGGTTTAAAACAAGCTTCAAGGCAATGGTTTCAAATATTAACATCTTGTTTACTTGCATATGGATTCACTCAATCTGTTGCTGATTGTTCATTGTTCATCAAGAAATCTGAATCTTCTTTTCTTGCATTATTAGTTTATGTTGATGACATCATCCTTGTTGGTGATTGTTTGCCTGATATTACTGCCATTAAGCAACACCTTGATAAGTGCTTTACCATCAAGGATCTGGGTCAATTAAAATATATCCTAGGGCTAGAAATTGCTCAATCTTCCTCAGGCATTCACATATGTCAGAGGAAGTATGCCTTAGATATATTACATGACACTGGTTACACTGATTGTAAGCCCTCCAATACTCCAATGGACACAAATTTAAAACTAACTGCTGTTCGCTAATTATTTTCGTTATCCGCAAGTGTACGGAGTAGCTATAGGTAGTGGCGAGCAAGGTCGTATTCCACAGAGATTGTAGTTAAATTAATTAAGTACTAAAATAATGGCGATTAAATATTATTTAGACTAACAAGTTGGGATGATGATTATAAACTAAGAGCTAATTTACCTAAAGTAATAAAAATAAATCAAGATATAAAAGATAGATTCTAGGCTAAGCGTTTCTCGGAATTAATTCATGAAACGTTTATATTCAAACAAACCTTATTTAATTTTATCAATCGTAGAGATAATCGCTAAATTGATTTCAAACCTTTCTCTCGAACAAGTTAAATCGTAGATATTAATTGTTATCTATCTCCTCTCGGTCTCAAGATGAACAACTAACTCTCATAAGTTCCTAGGATTTTCATTTTCTCGCAAGGTCCTATCAACCTCTCGGTCTGTTTATTCTCTTACGTTATAAATTTCTCAATTCTAGCAATCAATTATCTCCTCTCGGTCTCAAATCAATTACAAATATGCATTCATAGCGGCCGTCTACTCACACAATAATAATAAGCACAAGAAATTTATAAACGAAAGATAAACCGGAATGAAATAAATAAAAACTAAATCATAAATAAATCCGAGTACTAACAAATCCTAGAATCTAATATAAATCTAGCCTAGAAACATGCTTTCAAAATTAGAAAAATAGATATAAAACGTTGAGTTCGAAAGAAGAAATGAAAAAGAAAGAAAAAGCTTATTCGGCTCCGTCGATCTTCTCTTCCCTGGTTTCTCCCTCGTCTTGCTCGTGTTTCTAGCCTCCAAAAGTCTCCAAAAATATGTCCAAGACTCCCTAAAAAACGTGTCCAAGGGTTGTATAAATAATTGAGGTCGAGTCCTAGTCCAAATAGGTCGAAAAATCTCAAAAAATAGGAAAAACGCGTAAAATCCGTACAAGTCGCGCCCAGGGTCACACGACTCGTGTCATAGGCCATACGAGTCGTGTGACAAAGTCGAGAGCACAATATACGACCCGTCGGAACGACACGACTCGTGTCTCGGGCTCACACGACCCGTGTGTACCTGGGAGGGTTAAACTCCATTTTCTGCGTCGTTCTCAGCTCCTGATGTGTTCTGCGTCATCTCAGGTCGGTAAGGAGTCCCCTCAGTCGTCTTGGAAGGCGCCTGGTCGTCGGTCTGATGCTCCCGTCGGTGAAATTCCGGCCATTTCCTGCAGCTTCCGATGGCAGCATCTTCGTCGCGTTTTTCGGCTCCAGGCTGCTCCTCCGGCGACGTGATGGCGGCGACGGCCATCAACGTGGTCTCCGGTGGCTGGGTAGTGGCGTGGCGGTGCGAGAATAGCTCCAAGGTAGCAAAAATGGCAGCAACGTTCTTTTCTCTTCGTGAGGAAGAAGAAGACTTTTCTTGTGTCCTCAAATGACCATAATGTCCCTCATTTAAAGAGCTTGTGGGCTGAATGTGTAAATGGGCACTATTGGGCTGGCGTTTTCGGCCCAACATAACAAATAAATGGTCCTCCTTCCTATTACTTGTGGCCTGAGTAATTGGGTTCGTCCCAAAGCATGGCTCGCACTACTTTTATGTCCAATTCACGCCTTTCTCGACTCCAAAAATTATTTCGATCCTGTTTCCTGTTAAAACTCAAAATACAACACTTCATCATAGCTTAATAAAATTAATTAAATAATTAATTAATTATATAATAATTAATTAAATAATAATTAATTATATACCAAACTACGACGAAACGGACACGAAAATCACTATAAAATGCACGTAAATATGACGTAGGTCAACTGCAAATGATCCTAAAGCTATTGCTGTTGACAGCAAAGAATACAGGAGATTGGTAGGGAGATTATTATATCTTACAATCACTAGACCTGACATATCTTTCAGTGTTCAATGTCTTAGTCAGTTTATGTCTAATCTCTCTGAACAACACCTCATGGCAGCTCACAAGATTCTAAGGTATGTAAAATCAACTGCAGGACAAGGTATTTTCTACCCTAGAACCTCTTCTTTACATATTCAAGCATTCAGTGATAGTGACTGGACAGGATGTATTGACAGTAGAAGGAGTATTACTGGCTTTGCTGTTTTCTTAGGAACTTCTTTAATTTCATGGAAATCAAAGAAGCAACCTACAGTTAGCAGATCCTCAGCTGAAGCTGAGTACAGAGCACTAGCTTCTACTGTGTCAGAAACTCAATAGATTCTTTATTTGCTTACTGATTTATACATGCTCATAATTTTCTAGTTTCCATCTTTTCAGATAGCAAATCAGCCATCTCCATTGCCTCAAATCTAGTTTTCCATGAGAGAACGAAGCACATCCAAATTGATTGCCACTTCATAAGGGAAAAACTGGCTCAGAGGATCATTTCACTGCATTATATACCCACTTCTGAACAGACAGCTGACATTTTGACAAAAGCAATTGGAGGACAACAGTTTCAACACCTCTCTTCCAAGATGAACTTGAAAAATATTCATGTTCATCTTGCGGGTAATAGAATAAGTGTTCTTCATTTTAACAAAATCGCATTTTGTATTCTGTAAAGTTGCATTCAGTATTTTAGCTTAGTATTGTATTAGGTATTCTATCTTTATGTATTTTACATTTTAGGCCCAAGTATATAAAGACCAAAGGGCACATCTTGTACTCACTTTTTCTCTTTTCCCGTTGAATGAAACCCTAATCTTTCCTCTTCTCTCTTCTCTCAATTCTTCTCTTTTCTCTACCGATTTCTCTGTTCAATAATAGACCTTCACCAAAAGTAGCACATGTGCTCTGGATATACCAATGACGTTGACGGAGAGAGTGAAGTCCAAGCTTATCAGTAATCTCAGCAGCATTCATAGCATTTGGAAGATCTTGTTTGTTTGCAAAGACTAGGAGCACAGCATCCCTCAGTTCATCCTACGTCAATCAATCTCATCATTCTCAAAAAACAATAAAAAGAAGAAGAAGCTAGCGTGAACTCAACTCTCCCAAGATCATTCTCAGATTAAATATATGCAGATTTGCACTAAAGAAGTTCAAGAAATTGTGACAATACATAGTTCCTAATATGATGACACATGGATTGGAAATTTGTCAAAGCTGAGATAAAATAATATACCTCATTTAGCATCCTGTGTAGCTCATCCCTAGCCTCAACCACACGATCCCTATCATTACTATCAACCACAAAAATCAGCCCTTGAGTGTTTTGAAAGTAATGCCTCCACAATGGTCGGATCTACATAAGTGGAAATCATAAAGATCAGAGTACAGAAGGACGTTGAATGATAAGATACTAACAATCTAACAGCTAGTGGAGCATTCTTTCCCCAAATATCATAAGCCTTTGAGCATCACGATTCACTAATATACTAATTGGTAGAGAACTTTAGAGTAAGGACTTAAAAATACTAAGTGAAAAAGTCAAAAAATCATCTTATACCTTGTCTTGACCTCCGACATCCCAAACAGTGAAGCTTATGTTCTTGTATTCCACTGTCTCCACGTTGAATCCTGGGGGAAATGACAATCAGCTAACACAATTCAGAGGCCATAGATGAAAACATGAAGGCCAAACCATAGCATAGAAGAAAATATCATGTTTAGAACAGTTAAAGATACAAAATTATCATTAGACATGGCAACACAGAACAAATTAGCTAGAATACAGGTCTTAAGTTGTCTAATCAATCTCAATAAGGAACTGTAAACTCATCGGTCATTAGAAACAACAAAGATCTGTACTCGACTGCTGGACCACAAAAACGCGTTTCTTCTGATATACAAACAACACAAGTTTTTTCACACTTCATTTCTGAAAAATGAAAGTAATGATTATGTTTAATCCAGGTTTTCATGTTTTCATCATAACATCAATTATTTAGCTAACAAGTGATGATTAGCGGCAGTATAAATTAAAGGAAGATGTGCACGATGAAATGAAAGATGAACAATCTTCATTGTTTGAAAGCACATAATCACAATTATTAGTTCTCTCATATAAAGACAAACACAGGCAGAGACACAGACAAGTTATAAGGCACAATTTCACATAAATAAAAAATTACAAAACATGCACGTACAAAGCACTTAATGGAGAGGGATGCTAGTGTCATAAATACCGAAACGTACCAATTGTAGGAATGGTCGTCACTATCTCTCCCAACTTGAGATTGTACAATATGGTGGTCTTACCAGCAGCATCGAGACCAACCATAAGGATTCGCATCTTTTTCTTCGCAAACAGGCGGCTGAAAAGCTTGGTGAAGGACAAACCCATCTTCTCTGTCTGATAAAACAGAAACAAAATTTAAAGCCTAGCTTACCAAGAAAAAATAGAAATAGTACCTAATTAACAACACTATTATCTTTTTCCAATTTCAAAGATAATGAAGTTACGACATTCAATGTACCAACAAGGTGAGCGAGGACGACAAAACCAGGGTAACGAATATGGAGATAGAAATGAGAAAATTTTAGCCTCAGAAGTTGTATATCAAAACAATTGCAGTTCTCCTGCAAGAGATGATGTCTGGTAAACGATTCACCAGAAAAAGATGGTATGCACAAAACAAAAGTAACAAAATATCGAATTTTTACTTTTTCTCAAGTAACAATTAAAAGATCCACATATAAGCTGGAAATACATTTAAACCTTTAGCTCCATTCGTGAAACAAGCATACCACAATTAGATAAAGAAGCAACAAGATCTTATCAGGCTAGTTTTATATTTTGAAGCATCCATTTTGATCAAAACATGAAATCCACACGATGAGCTATGTATCTAAACAGACATCGTAAGGTATCAAATCCAAAGAAATTACGCCCCCAAAAAAGAAACCATGTCATAAAAGATTTGATTGATTAAACAGGAAGCGTCAAGTGCTCGCAGATCCAAAAATCCAACAAAATTAGATCGATCAACTCGCAGCGGATTCATATAAACATGACCATTCATAAACTGATAGCAAATATTAATGAATTTCAAGAAATTATAGCAAACGGAAGTCAGCATTCTGGATCGGGAGATCGGCCTACCAAGGTGTTCAAAAATTTAGTCTTCTGACTACCGAGGTGTCAAAAAAAAGTCCTCGGACTACCGAGGTCTACAAAGAAGATCCTCGGCCTGCCGAGGTGTTTAAAAAATGAGTCCTCGGACTACCGGGGTCTCCAAAAAAGCTCCTCGGCCTACCGAGGTGTCCAAAAAATTAGTCCTCGGATTACCAATGTCTTCAAAGATGCTCATCGGACTACTGAGGTGTTCAAAAAATTAGTACTCGGACTACCGAGATCTACAAAGAAGCTCTTCGGCCTACAGAGGTGTTCAAAAAATTAGTCCTCGGATTACCGAGATCTCCAAAAAAGATCCCCGGCCTACCGAGGTGTCCAAAAAATTAGACCTGGGACTACCGGGGTCTATAAAGAAGCTCCTCGGCCTACCGCGATGTCCAAAAAATTAGTCCTCGGACTACCGGGGTCTACAAAGAAGCTCTTCGGCCAACTTTGAACGACTTCTTGTTGGAATCTTTTGTCCGGACCGCCCTAAGATTCTCAACATTCCAGGCGAGAATATCAGTCCGGGTTTCTTCCTTGGTATGAAAAACTGTACCCAAACGGATAGTCTCGGCATGCCCATCCCAGACTGGCAAGGCATACTCGTCCCTGTCTACACACGACGAGTCTCACTCACCCATATCGCGATAATCATAGAGGCCTTCATTTGGAAAGGGGTGTTCTTCAATGAATTCTTGTTCGCTCTCCTCATTAATTGATCTATCCGATTCGGTTTCCGAGGTCTCATCAGTGAAATCGTCTTCACCGGGAATGAAATCTTCATCTCCAACAATTTCTTCCTCAATGTCCGGTCCTCTCATGGTAAAGCTCGTTCCTTCGCCGAAATTACTCGTCCCTTCGCCGAAATTACTCGTCCCTTCACCAAAATTACCGGCATGCGTAGTCCACGTACCCTCACCACCAAACATTCCCTCGTAACCATATGATGGCGTAAGATCCTCAACCTGTGTAACCTGTGTGTTTGCTTCCAACACTATATACTAGGGCTGGCATTTTTTAACCGAAAACCGAAAATCGAACCAAATCAAACCGAACCGACGAGAAAATAAACCGAACCGTACCGAACTGCTTGTAACGGTAACCGACTATCGGTTACCGAATCACTATCGGTACGGTATCAGTTTGAACCCATAAGAGTTCGGTAAAACCGATACCGAACCGATAAGGGTAAAAAGAAATAAACAAAGATTTTTTTTTTTTTCAATATTAAAACAATGATTAGTTGTTTAGTGTTCAAAAATTAAAATAAGGGCTCAATCCTACCTAAATCTCAAAATGACGAGAAAAATACCATTACTCATCGCCTCATTCACCTTCTAATCGTAACATTGTTGGTTTACCAGTCTCACTTCTTCTAAAAAAGATGCATGCTACCGTTACTGTAATCTATTCTCGTACCACCGTTATTAGATAAGTTAGTTGAAGTTGTATCACAATTTTTATTTCTTGCATGTTAGCAATATATTGTTTTATTAGTTGCGTTTACCACAAAAACCATAATCTAATAATATATAAACTAACTTCTATACATTAAATTTAAGCTTTTTAATCCTTCAATGGATTTGTGAGTCTTTTGTGTGTATTTAATTGGTAAGCAGTAAAAAAAATTACAAAAATGACGAGAAAAGTAAACACTAGCAAATTTTTTTTTGTGCTCAAAATCAGTTCGGTTTTTTGGGTATAAAACCGATACCGAACCGAAACCGAACTGAGTTTTCGGTTACCGAATTTTCAGTAACCGACTTTAATCGGTTCGGTATCGGTTTTGCATTCCGAGGTTACCGACATTATCGGTACGGTATCGGTATACGCTTATCGATTTTGTAATTGAACCGATACCACCCCTACTATATACAAAAACACATAGGACATAGAAGGAAAGTAGCAAATCCACGAAAGAGCATTATCATTATTCAGTCTCCCGGTAATAAACGAATCATCCTGTTGTCTCGCCATCAAAGTAATATTCGAAATTGTCCAACTATCACGAAACCCACCATTTTCGTAAATCATATCTACCAATTGTTCATATGATATTATTCCATTAATAACAAATGAACAATCCGGACGAGACATATTATTCGAAAAATTCCATAACTCACTCTGGGGAATTTTCCAGTACACATTAACAAAGTAGGGACCGTTAGACGACATTTATAACCTGTTGCACAAAAAAAATTTCTATTTTATAAATTACAACAACACAAAATTGCTAATCAAACACTCCGTCTAAATTTCAATTATTATTTTACTAATCTACATTTAAAATTTCAATTATTTTACCAATCTACATTTAAAATGGCCAATCAAACACCCGAGAAAATTTCAATTATTATTTTACCAATCTACATTTAAAACTCATTTCCAACAACAACATATAATTAATTATATTTATACTCCAACAAAAAAAAAATTGTCAATTAATTTATCGAAAACACTACAAAAATTCTAATCACCAATCTCATTTAATGATTTAAGCTTCCCTTTTTTGGACTAGCGATTGATTTAGCTGAACTTCCTGTCTCAGCTAAGATTTGTGAAAGCCTTTTTTGTCTTGTGATTTTACCAGTTTCAGATCCCCAATGCAAAAAGACCGTGTTTCTCTATTGGGCAGATGATTTTCGTGGCCCATCACTACCTGAGTATGAACGATTTCATTTTCCATACTGAAATTTGTTTCTCTCAAATTCGAACATAATGGCAGAAGGTTTGGATGATGCTTTGGGTGGGATATTTTGTGCTGTCAATATCTTGTTAGTTATCGATTGCCTTTTTTCGGGCTATCAGCCTTGTCTTCCATGTACACTCAGTCTCCTTACTTTGAACTTGTTAAAGAATTTTCTTCATTTGATCTCTGAGGATCAACAACCATGATTTTGGTTGCATATAGTAACTCTGCAGTGGATTTCGGGGAGAGAGAAGGAAATAAGTAAGTTGATTAGTGATTTCAGAAAAGGAAGTGAAAATTGATTCTATAAATGAATAAAGTGCACGGTGCACCTTTGCATGAAAAAATGTGTTAATCAATATATCTTCAAATTTCACGGGAAATTCGAAAGCTGCGTGTATACATCACCTTGTCACCCCTTTTTCACGAGTCTCACCAATCTTTAACACACGGCGCAATAGTAGTTTAAATTCTGAAATAGTTTAAAATCCTTATTTATACAGCTTGATAGCTATTTATCACCTTGTCACCCCTTTTTGCGATAAAAATGGACGCATACTATTTGAGATATGAAAGAAGATACTATCTGTAATATTTGAAATATGTGAACGTGTGTAAAATAATTTTAAAAAATAGGCAAATTCTATCATTTTAACACCATAGATGTATTTTCGTTCAAGAAGTAAGATGGAACTTGACTCACGGCGACCCGTCTCTCCTCGATATGCTCATTTCCTGCAAATTCGCTCTTAATCGGACATGGGTTTTTCTGGGCGTTCACCGTGCGAACCCAATACACCGTATCCACACTTCCGTATTCTTCACCGAACTTTATGATGATGCCGGCGAGGAAGAAGACAATAAGGCGGAACGCATATTTCGAGAGATCAATTTTCCCTTTTCCGATGATTGCAGCCCCAGCAGCTCTGGGATAGTCGGCTCTTGCAACGGCCTTCTGTGCTTAGCCTATTCGTCCTATCCCCGACCAAAAATCTACCTTTACAATCCCTTTACGACGACCTTCAAATTGCTGCCAAAGAATCATCTGATCAGTAATGTGGATTGTCGAGATGAATCCTACAAATCCGTGTTTGGGTTCGGATACAATTCTTCCGCCCGGGACTATACTGTGGTGAGTGTGGATTATATGAAAATTTCTGAACAGGAGGAGAAAACGGATGCTTATGTGTATACTTTCAAGAGTAACACATGGAAATGGGCCATGAATGAGCCGGTTCATAGGATTGGGACAAGATTCCCGGGAGGGGTTTTGGCGGGCGGGAGGCTGCACTGGTTTAGGGACGATAAGTTGGGCATTGTTTCGTTTGACTTGGCGGACAAATTTTTCCGGAAGGTCGAGATGGATTTGGCCATGATGGTTAAAAACTCGGATCCGCTGTCTATGTGGAATAGGCTCCAAATTGCAGTTTTAGGAGGATACCTGTCGCTTGTGGTGGACAATCACTTGCAGATTGTGATTTGGGGTATGAGAGAGTATGGGGTGAAGGAGTCCTGGGAGAGGATGTATACTCTCGGACAGTCGTTTTTCGAGGAGTATTCTTTTGTTGGTGGCTCGAATTCTATTCGTGTGTTGGGTCTCAGGAAAAATGGGGATATTCTTCTGGCAATCCAACTTGTCGGGTCGGTTAGCTATAATCCACGCGATAGAGCGGTCAGGTTTGTCTTTGAATGTGATAACTTTTTATTTGCGGAAGATTGTGTTCGTGTTAGTGATTTTATTACTCCAAGCGCCATGTGCTTTTGACTGTTCTGTTGAAGTCGGTTGGTTGTGTCGATGATTCGTAAGTTGTTCGTTTTATTATAGTTGAAACATGATTGTGTGTGTAGCATGTCATGTAGCTGCTGTGAACAATTTGTCGACGTTGTGAATCACTTTTGTACCTTGGTGCCGATAATTCTGATAGCTCAAGTGAAAACAGGGGATCTTGTTTGCACCAAAATGGATATCTTGAATGTCGAATGAGAATTAAGGGGACCAATCACCATAAGTATTTACTGGACTCGACCTATTTGATACTGAACAAAGTGTGGTGTTCAGCTGAGACGAATGAGAATTGAGGTGTTGTATTCACAATCACCATAAGTATTTGCTGAACTTGACCTATTTGATACTGAACAAAGTGTGGGGTTCTCTGTGGTGTTCAGCTGAGTCGTAAGAACCGCAATGTTAAAGCTCAAATCAATGTTAGATACCAACTCAAAACTAATTAAGGGGTTTAAAATTTTTCCAGTCCAAAAATGAAAAAAAGGTAGAAAAATTGGGTTTGATTAATGTAGAATATGAACTCAAAGCTTCAAGCCTTCAACTTAATCGAGGATTATTGAAGCCTATGAAACAAAGAACATAACAAGAGGTGTTCCTCAATGTTGGACTAGTGAGCCACCAGTCAATCATCATCTAAAGGTTTTTAGGGTACCATTGCTTGGTTCAGGAACACCTAAAGCCCCATCAGAGGTATTATCTTTAGAGTATTAAAACACAAAGAGTACTAAAAACACGAATACATCATTGACATAAGAACATGAATATGAATTTTGATCCACGCAATGTACAGGCCAGAAATCCTGCCCATCCCCCCAGCTCGTGATTGCTTTCAGAAAATAAAAATAAAAATATAAACACAAAATTCCATCACACACACACACATAATCACACAAACATCGAACTACTAATTCAGCCACTTAATGCCTGTAAACAAGATGAAACCTTGGATCAATTAGATATCCTCCGAGTACTTCCCGAGAAGGAGGGTTTTTTTTTGTGCTCTTTTCAGACATCGACACACACACACACACACACACACAACACACGACTCAAAGTGAGTTACACTCATTCAGCCACCTTAATACCCGTAAGATAAACCTGCGCTTGGATCACACCACCATCCATCCAAAACCCCGGCATGACCATCAAACCCACCTTCGGCTTCTCATTCTCACCTTCACCCACCACAATATCCTTCACAACACTCTCCATATAAACCTCCGAGAACTCACTCCCACGCCTCACCTGGAAAATCCTGACCGCCGGATCAAACGCGTGCGCCAGCCTGTGCAGAAGCCACACCGCTTTCCCCAGTTTCAGAAAAGCCTGGTAGAACGCAGTCCTCGGGTGCCCCCCACCCACAATATAAGTCCTCTGGTCCAAATTCCCGAAAAACGAGGCCTCCATTTTCTGGTGAACCACCAAAAGGTATTTGCTTCGGCAGAATTTACCAAACATCGAGTCCGGGCCTTGGCCCACCGCATCCAGCGGGTCCATTTCCCTCAGCTCAAGATACTCCTTGAACAGATTCTCCTTAGTAATTGGGACAGAAATCGAATTTTCTTCAGGATTCATGAAGAAATTCTCGTCCTGAAATCCGACGAACATCCTCTGGCAGATGTGGGACTCGAACGCATACTTCTTGTGGGCCCGCTTCGCGTAGACCACGTCTGGCTCGATCGAGCCAGCCGCCGAGTCAAGGTCCCATCCGGCGGCCTTCATCATGTTGATCAGCGGCTTGGAGAAGTCGTGGATGGCCCGCGAGGCGGCCTCAGCCGCCGATCTGAAAAGTTCGGGCGAAATTACGGTTTCGCCCCCGCTGCTGCCTCCGGGTTCCTTTCCCAACAGACCCCTGAGCTTTAGATTCTTCTCGAGCTTCACCCGCTTCTGGTTCGCCTCTTGGATCTGCTGCTCCAGCTGGAGGATCTCAGAGTCCTTGTTTTGAATCTCGGACTGGAATTTCTTCACCATGACCTCGTATGTCTTGAGGAGGCTCTGCTGTTCTTGAATCTCGGCCGCCAGCCTGGAATCTTGAGGGGAGGTACAGACGGGCTTCGGGTTGTGCTCACGGTAGAAGTGTTTGAGTTCGGAAAGGTTTTTGAGCTCGGATATGACGAGGCGGTCGGCTGCCTGGATTTTGTCCGGGTCATAAGGGGTGTGGGCTGCTTGGAGTTGGATATAAGCCGATTTTAGGGAGGATATGTTTGTGAAGATTCTGGATACGAGAGCTTCCATAGCCTCGGGGGTTTGGTTGGTGGACTCGTCCATTGGCTGAGGATGGACCTTTTGGTTGCTGTTCTCACGAAGTTGGGTATCTCTTGCACCACTGTGTTGCATATCTACCTATTTCTTTTCTTTTTTTATTTTTCTTAATTTTTTTACCAAGAGAAAATGAAGTTTTACTGAGTTACTGTTGGAGGGTTTCGGGAAGATGCTGTGGGATTAACTGCAAACAAGAGAAGGTTCATATGAGGTACTGGTTAGAGAAGGGTGATGTGAAATATATGTGAGTAATAATTGATGCTTCTTTAGGATACAGAATTGTAAGTAATGGCGACACGTTTTAGACGTCAAGAAAATCACGGTACAGAGAGCCAACCTTTAAGTCAAAATTTAACAGCTATGTAGACATAAAACAATCTGGCATTCATTGCGAAATAAACTTTTAAGAAATACGGATTGTTAGTATCAGATGCCTAAGATGATAGGAATGTGCACAGATTATATAAACAGACAAGAAATTTCCATGATGCTAATATCAGTGCATTTCTCAATTAAACGAATAAGGAAATTATTTTAGCCCAATTCTCATTCCATTAATTGGGAAAGCTTTGGATGTGCTTTGTCATTAGAGACCTGGAAACACTTATAGTTTGCATTGTATGAAAAGATTTGAGTTTGGGCTTTTGATGAGAGGATTTGTTGAAATGATATAAAGTATAAGATTTTGAATTCCACAGGAGTCGACCAAAAAAAATTAACTCAAAATAGGAGATAAGGATTTGAAATCCATCGATATATTAGAGATCCAGGCAAACTAAACTGGATTTATTCATTAAGGTATCAAATCCAAAGAAATTACGCCCCGAAAAAGAAACCATGTCATAAAAGATTTGATTGATTAAACAGGAAGCGTCAAGTGCTCGCAGATCCAAAAACCCAACAAAATCAGATCGATCAACTCGCAGCGGATTCATATAAACATGACCATTCATAAACTGATAGCAAATATTAATGAATTTCAAGAAATTATAGCAAACGGAAGTCGGCATTCTGGATCGGGAGATCGGCATCCCATGTTCACAAATATATGAAACAATAAAGTGACGAATTTACCAAATTAAAAACGACGAAAAGGGGGAAGAAAGCTTACAATGTCAAGAAACGCAGAAGAAAAGAAAATCGATTTGGTGAGTGGAGAAGGGCAGATCTTGTTTCGATGGAGCTGCCCCTTTATACGCTAATAATGTGGCTGTTTATATATGATATTTTGAAATTTAAATTAATTATTTTTATCATCCCATTCCCATTCATTTGCATTTAATAATAGACTAGAAAAGATCACAACTTTCGATCGATACAACTTAGATCAACATAGGAATAATCTCTAGCAGCCCAACTGAAAACACTGAGGATCTAATCAAGTTCAATTATTTAACTGCCACCAAAACAAATGAACAATTAGATTCAAATTTCAAACTAAAAAATTTCACCATTAAACAAAGACTTGAACAACAAAATTTGGTGACAAAATTTGCTCTTTTTTCTGCAGGAATAAAGAAGCTCATAAAGGGATCCAAGAAAGCAAAAAAAGGGAATTAAAAACAAAAAACAAGGGACTAACACTAACACACAGTCAAAAATCACTGAAGAAACAAAGAAATTAACGTACTTACTGGCCTCTTCATGTCTTTATCCTCTTCAAGCCCTCATTCAAAGGTTGCAAGAATCTCTGACTGCGCCCTAAAACTGGGAAGAGAAAACGAGAAGAGAAAGAACCGGAAAAAAGGAAGCGAGATTGAATGATGATGAGTGGCAATTAAGGAGAAAAATGTAGCTGTAAGAATGACACTTAATATTTAACAATAAAATAAAAACTAGTATTATATGGATGGGGACGGTGCCTCATCCCGTCATAAAAGTGGGATAGGTATACGGACAAGTCAAATCCAAGATCTTTCTGGACCGCGCCCACCCCTACCATAAATAATCAACATATTTATAGATAATCCAAACCTATCCAAGCCTAATAACGAAGCATGTAATTTTGCCAAATACGATCCCGAAGCATGCGAGCCTGCCACATAGGCTCAACACGTTCTCAATTAATATATAGGGGGATTTGTTGGTGGCAATAGAAATCTAGTAGTAACATGCTTAAATCCACATAAATAAATTGTTCTAGTAGTAACATGCTTAAATCCACATAAATAAATTGTTTTAAGTGGCATGTAGTATATGAGTATTATATTTAAAATGATAATTTGAAAGTATCACATTTTATAAATTTGATATACACTTATATAAAGGTGGTTAGAAAAATATATAAATAGTAACATTAACTTTTCAATTAAATAATTTGACTTCTATTATTGGATTTTTTTTAGAAAAAACGGCATCTTTTATTGTTTTTTAGAAATCATATCATGATTGTTACTAAAAGTGAAAAAGTAATTTATAATTTTCGAAAATCATGATCAGGGGTCAGCAAAATCGAGTCGAAATCGAAAAACCAAATCGAATCGAGCTATTCGGTGCGGTTCGGTTTTCTGTCCGAATGGTGCGGTGTTAACCGAATCGCACCGAATATCATAAAAATTTGGACACAACATACACAAACATTTACATTTAAACTTAAAAGTAAAAATTTTTATTGTTCGAACATTAATTTGTGCTTATCCTTTCTTAATTTCGGTTAACCGAAATACTGCACCGAATCGAACTGAAATTTTCGATTCGGTTCGGTTCGGTCCGGTTTGATTTTTCTTTATATTGCGGTGCGGTTCGGTGAAGAAATTGAGGGACTCTTTACTGAGGAGAATATCATTGCTGAGTTAGCTTTAGAAATGGAAACTGAAGAGTAACTTACAAGAAGAAAGATACTCACTCACCCATCATATATGTGATAGTCCAAAGGGGCAAACTTGAAGACTTGAATGTCTAATTCCCAAGAAGGAAGACTAAGAAGGAAAAAAGAGACTTGGGATTGATTACATACATTTTTTTAAATGTTTCAAGTTCAGAAAACAAGATAAAAGAGCAAGCCAAAGACAAATTTTTCATCCTACTAATCAAACAGTACTACTAAGTTACACGACTGTGTATCATAATTCATATCCCATATACTATAAGTACTCTTGCGAATGTAACCTACATAAATTAATAAATAAATTATCCTCCACTCCAATATAACCTAGAGAATAAGTTATTATCTCCAAAGCTTGTTAAGCTAGGACCAAGTAAATCCGTTTTGCATGTCTATGTTTAGAAAGAGCACTTGGCCAGCTGTGACGTGATCAAAAGCATCAATGCCCAGTTTTGTGTTCATGAATATTGGCGGACGAAAGTGACTCTAAGTCATAATCAGCATCGACATTTTGATTGCCTTTCTTATGATCACCTCCTAATTCTTGAATATTGTCATTGTCACCCTTTAAATTGATCATTTCCTTTTTCTTACCCCATAATACTCCATACAGTCCCAAAACAATCAAACTTGACCCTACAAGGCTGCCAAAAATAAAAAAATAAACAACATAAATGAAAAGATGGACTTACGTTCCGGCATAGAGCTTTTCATCAAGCAAAGCCCAACTTAGAATAGCCACAATAACTAAAAGCAATGGACTAAACACGGATACATAAAGTGGGCCTTTCCTTTCAATACACCATGACATGAGCCCAAATGCCAGAGCAGAACACACTATTCCCTGGTGTAAATTAATAATGTGGAAAAAAAAAGCATTAATTACTATTATGATTTTGGTAGCCTTAAATCAACGACCAATAAATCAAATGTTAGTTTAATTGTGAAAAAAAGGAAAAAAAAAAATACCGAATAAATTGAAGATACAATCCTAATGCTGGAACGGAGTGACCAAGCGGATATAGAATGGTCAAAACAAATGGCAACAATGACACATTGGACACTCGCCATTAGGCACATTATTGCCGAGCTTGAATAAGGAGAGCCGTACTTCTGGCTTATTCTTGTCTGCACATTTTGGTGAAATTTCGAAATTGGTCCCTTTATTTTTTATTTTTTGTTTGGAAGGATGAAATGTGTTTTGGTGATTAATTACCTGGACTATTAGCCAAGCGGCCCATGAAATGGCGCTGACGAGAAGAAGAAATGGGCCCAATATGAAGTTGAGATGGGCCGTTGGGCTTGCTGAAGATGTTGTCTCTGCATATTTCCAGTGAATGCCGGATTGCCCAATATTGACTATCTGTCCATGGTAAAACGACACTAAGATTGCTCCCCCAACACATACTAATGTCCCTAATACTTTGGCTTGTCCTGCCTTGCTCTTCAAACCCAATTTTTCTAGTCTGCACCTCAATAAAATTAATTCTATATATAATATATACATATATATATATATATATTTTTTTTTTCTTAAAAAAAAGATTAAAAAGTGAAAGAATTGAGTACCCAAAAGGAAGAGCCATGATAAATGTGACAGCTGGGTTGATATTGCTCAAGGCACATGCAGTTGTAGGGGTTGAATTTTTCAGTCCCACAAAATAAGTGATTTGGTTCACCGTAATTCTGCGTATATGGTAAAATTCCTATTACATGTACCACATTTTATAATAATAATATATTTTTTTTTTTTATTGGTATAAGTCGAGAGGAATATTAAGATATTGTAAGTCATGTTGAGGACTTACCCAAAAATGGAGCACAAGAAAATCTGGAAAAAGATTGATAATGTCATGTTGGGTCGTGTTTTCCTGCAATATATATTGTTGACAACATACAAAAACTTAATTACGTTTTTATAGTAGTAATATTTTATTATCATAGTACAATACTTCAAACATGTGGGTTGAAGTCTTCAAGAATTAGCTTAGTCATATGATACAAAATATAACTTAAAGCAATGCAAAATTTGTAGTTAAGTTATATTAATCATGAATATTATTTATACAAGATACCTAATTTTCAGTTTGTATTTTTTTATTTCTATATTATTAATATTATTATTATTATTATTTTGGTGTGTTTAAAATACTGTCTATATTTAGTCACACACACTACTATACAGAATAAAAACGTGGTCGCGCACAAAATTTGATACGTGAAGCGGTTTCTCAATTTTGTTTTCTCTCATCTTACATGTCATCTCTTTTGTACGTACCTTCTTTAATTTGTTCTTTATCAAAGTTTCTTTTTCCTTTTTTTCATTGTACTTGTGTAATCAAGTGTTTTCTTTTATGTCATAAGAATTCTTATTTTATTACACTTATTCCAATTTTGTAAAACTCGTACACAGTTTTCTTTTTGGGCAGTGAATATCAATTTAATAACTGTTTCATCTAGTGGTAAGAACTAAGAAGACATGACCCATACTCAAGTCACAAAGATAATTAACTCCTAACTCATCATTTACATTTTATTAATACTGAATTGTCACGTGAAATCTTCCCCACCTATTTTTCTTTTTCTTTTTCTTTTTGTAAACACATACTTAGGTGCATGTGTGTGGCAATAATAGGTAAATTTATTTAACCAAACCGTCTTATTACAAACTTATTATTTTAGAGAAATTAGTACATGTAACGAGTTGGCTAGTGCATCTCTTCCCATGAATGTTAATACCAAAGAGGAGCAAAAAAATTTCTGTAAACAATTCAAACATATATAGAGTCCTCTCTACCTGCAGATTTAATTACCTCCATTTACATTTTATATGTTATATAACCTATAATCCTACATACACATATGAATAATGTTAATCGACAGCGAGACTCGTAATAAGATGGTCCTACCTGGGCCTTACTGGAAAATTAACCAACAAAATTAATGCTCCTGAACTAATATTTACAAAAAAAAAAAAATCTCATATATGAAAAAAATGAAGCAAAAATAAAAAATTAAAATACATTGATGTGTTGTACTATACCTCTCGACGAAATAAGCAAAAGGTGCTATAGCAACCGTTGCAAATATTTGACGGTACGCGACTTGAACAAAAGGGTTCATTCCTGAATCCATAGCGAGTTTCGATATAATATTCATGCCGGCATAGCCCAATTGCACCACTACCATTGTCAAGAAAGGCATCAAATCTCCCTCCATTTTTACGATTTTCTTCTTAATTTTCACAAAGCAAAAATTAAGAAGAAGAAAAAGTAGGAGATGGGATACAGGAAGAAAACCAGGAAGAGGTGCACATATATATATAGCTAAATTATGATGGTGATGATGATGGCGATGCAAATTAATGTGACGATATTAATAAAATGATGGCTCTAAAAGCATACTTGTCGCATGTAAAGAGTGGGAAGAAAAATACAAGAAAATCGAGAAAAAAGTGAGGGGATGTTTCTTGTTTGTGCATGGGTTTCACGCATTCTCATTCTTGATTTAGGGCTACTTTCAGTTAACATTGGAGTAGTCTGCCAGCTTTTGGGATGGCTTTGCAACAACAAAAAAAAAGTATTAAAAAGATTAAATGAATTTAACTAATAAATCAATAATCAAATGAAACTTGAAGTAACCAACTTGAATAGTTCCATATTTCGGTGGACGAATATATGCGTCATATTATTTACCTTCTCTTTTAGAGAAAAATAACACTACCAGGGTGCAAGCAACGACTATATTAATTAAATATAAAAAAAAAATAATATTTCTTACGCTTATTTTAAGTTATAATGAGAGAGTGGAGGGCTACACTAGACCGCGTGTGGACGGTTCTAAAAAAAATATGCAATTTTTTACTGCACGGCATACATTCGACACGTGTCCTCAGGATTTTGCCTTTGGCTCGTCCTAAAAGCCTTGCGGAGATTTTGGGAAAGTTTCAAAAATAGTATTTAATTTTTAGAGATGACAAATGTAATCTTGTTATTAAAAAAAAAAACAATTGATTAATATTACTTTCTTCTTAGCATTGAACAAAATAAGAATAATTTTTGCTCCAATTCCACACGTCATGCAGGACATGACACATAATATACATGTGACTTTTAAAAAAAAATTAAAACTAGTCTATAATTGTTTTAAAACTAGCACTATTGGAATACAATTAAGTAAAAATAATAGTTCCATATAAGTTTTTTAAAATTTTATTAACTTGAGCATAGCCTTAGCTGAAAATATGATCTTTTGTCGAAAAATGACATGTCATACAAGAAATTAAAGATAATGTAAAGGGAAGGATGTTTTCCAAACAAATTCCACAAAATACTACAAAAATATGTTAACATAACTATAAATATTACCTACATAATCCGTTTTAGCAAATAACAAGACATTACGTATCCTACAAAAGTTTTGCCCGTTTCTGAACACCGAGTAATTTTTAGATCCGAGTATAATCGCCCAAACTCTAGTAGCATATAAATGACTCTAGACGTCATAGGGATATTAATGAGTCCTTGGGTTGCCGGAGATGTGGTCGGCCAGCCGGCGAGTCCGCAACCGCACCTAAGAAGGCTACCGAGGTCGTGTGCCTCGTAGCGAGCATAGCCAACCAAACGGCGTGCATTAGCACGCATCCACAACGCGTATCGATGTCCTGCACACATCCCACTCTCGTCTTATCGTTGGAGCCGAGCCACCGAGTGTTTGCCCGTGCACCGAGTGTTAGAGTAGGGTACCCGGCGTTCCAATCTAATTGGACGTATTCTACTTGTAAATACAGTCTATTGGAATTATATTATGAATAAGGCATTTCTTTATCTTAAGAGAAAGCATTTATCTTATAATTGCACTTAAGATAAAATCCATAGATCACTTATGGTTATAAGGTATGGTTGCGCATAGAGATGGTGATCATGGAACATACCTTGAAAGCCGTGATCTTAAATACAGTTCCAAGTCGATGGATGTTTCGAGATGGGATATCGAATAATCCATAAAAGACTTGCACATAGTTTGTATGCTTGTTGGACAAGAATGTTGCATTCCATCAACATTAGCGTAAGACGTAAGTACATTTATGTGGGTGCTTGTTAGAGAACAAGTTCACTGAACATGACCGTATGAAAATTCTTAATGAAGAATTTATTCAGTCGAATAAGAATTTTCATGTTACAATAGTACATGACTAATCCTAAGACTTGAGGCACAATGGTAACTTTGTGCATATTACATTCTACTTTGATTTATCCTTTTGGTAGCTAGCACTATCGTTTAAAGGGATAAGTTGGGTATTATGTTAATATGTATGGAAGTTTGTTAGTGGCCAATAAAGGATTCGACACTTATGAAGATAAGTGAATTTCCTATGTGTTTCATAGTTATTAATCCAAAGTCCTTGGCCAAGGCAGAGATGAATAGTGATTCATAACCGGGTTAATAAACATGAAATAGAATCATAGTTATTAAGTCAATTTGGGTTTCGACAAAATCATACCCAAGACTTAATCGGGAAATTAGATGTCGAAAGGATTTTACATGTATGGAGTTGTAATCGGAATAGGTTTACTCGCTATTCACTTAATACTAGATTCATGCTACTTGCTAGGTGTTACCATGATATGTGGGTTCATAAATTAAAGGGTTAATTCATGAATAAGAGTTAATAAGATTTAACTCAAATTACAAAGTGTTGTAAACCCACTACTAGTATTAAGGTGAACCTAAAAGGTCACACTAATTATGAACAAAGGTAAAGATTGTATTTCTAATGGTTAGAATTAATTGATAAATATCTAATTTGATTAGATATCAATTAAAGGAATATATTAATCAATAAGATTGATTAATTACATTTTGGATATTACTTTAGTAATTAAGGTAATTACTAAATTAATAAAGTTGAATTTTAAAATAGGATTTTAAATTTCAAAAATCCAAAATAATAATAATATGATTATTATAATATTGGGAAAATGATATAATAATAAAGTCTTGAGAAAGATTCTCAAGATTTATTATCCAATTATTATTTATATCTTTAAATATGATTTAAGGATTAAAATAATAAATATGATTATAATAAAATGGTTGTTGATGGTTGTTTGAACTACTTAACATATCTTATTATTTTCAAAGTCAAAAGTTAGTAAATACTATTTAAATAAAATTTGATTTTATTTAATATTACTAAATGTTGATTATTTTATGCTAAAATGTTTAGTATAAATATATGCAAAATGGTTTTGCATTTAAGTGAAGTTTTTGATCCTAAATTTCTAAGTGTTAGAAAGAGAAGAAAGTGTTCTTCATAAAACTTCAAGAAAGAGTTCTTAAAATTCCCAAATAAAATTCATAAATATTCCTATACAAGAAAACCGAGTCTTTTCTACTAGCGAAGGAAAGTCGTCGGAACCGGGCTTCATAGGGTGGATACGTTTAGAGGGAAGACACTTGGATTCCTCTAGCGAGTAACCTCAAGTCGTTGAAGTTACAACCGGGAACCGATTCCCTCATCCATCATCAATAGTGAAGGAGTTCAAGACATTCGGTAAATATTTTTACTAGTATTTACTTTATAGTAACAAATCAAAATTTGTATATGATGCATGTTTTAAAGATGACGATCAGTTAATTCGCAATTAGTATGTACGGGTGTTGTATTTATACGATAAATACTTACTTTAAAAATTTTAAATTCCGCTGCGTACAGCCCGTACGGTACTATCGAACCCAACAGTGGTATCAGAGCCACGGTTATCGTCTTTAAAACAGATTTTGATTTGTTAAGACTTATGAGATAAGCAATATAATTAATTTTTTATATGATAAAAATATTAATTATAAAATTAAAAATCGTTTTTAAGCCACACGAGTCGTGTGACCTTGTCACACGAGTCGTGTGGCATGAAGAAAAATTTTGATTTTAGCTTCGTGATTTTCACACGAGTCGTGTGACCTTGTCACACGAGTCGTGTGAGCTCACACGAGTCGTGTGACGAGCCACACGAGTCGTGTGAGTCTGGGAAAAATTTTGATTTTCAATTCGTATTTTTCACACGAGTCGTGTGATAAGATCACACGGGTCGTGTGACCCTCACACGAGTCGTGTGACTCATAAATTGATATTTTATGTTCATTTCATTAGATGAATGTTTTAGGGATGATCATGAGCCTCATATTCATTATGTTTGAATGGATGTTTTCATTTTCAATATGATTGAATGAATGAATGGATGTTTAATTATGTTTTCAATATGATTGAAGAAATGTAATTTATCGAGACCTGCGAGTCTCTTGAGATGAAATTTGTAAAATTTTAAATTTTGTATCGTTAGAGATTAGATCAAGGTGGAGACCGTTCGATGACAAAGGCCCACGCATGTGTGGGTAATTTTACAAGTTGTAATCTCGAAGGCCTGTGCTTGTACGGGTAGATAGAATAAATGTAATAGAAGTAGTTCTATTATTTGTTTTATCACGTACATAGGCATAGATCCATTTTGGCTCGAATGGATCGAATAGGCAAGGACATGATCATCCCACCATGCATTAGATGTATGTTAGGTTTATTTACGCTTTCGTTTCATTAGGTGACTGAAATCGGTAAATAAACGTAAAGATGGTAATCGATGAGATCAAGGAACCCAAACGGATTAATTTGATTAATTCCATATCAAATCAATAATGGATAAAAATAAGTTGGAACTTATTAATCCCGGTCTTCCATCAAAAGTAGATGACATGAGATGCTACGATGTTTTATCATTGGCCACGAGTCGTGGGATGATTCTATGTCGAAAGCTGTGAACTCTATTAAATATATTGATATTCGTGAGATGGATTCCTCTTTGTGTTGACCATGAGTCGTGGGACACTCTGGTGGGCCATTATCATGAAAGTTTTGATGGGTTTGATTTGACACCGAGTAATATATACGGTCATAAAATTGAGGTATATAAGGAAAGGTGAGGCAAAACATCTTGAAGGTTGTATAGAGATACAATTGTCAAAAGTTGACTACCGATATAAATGTTCCATGCGTACTCATAAAATTGGGATATGGAATATTTTTATTGGACTTCAAGCCCACTATGAAAATTAGATTTTCATAATTAAAAAGGGGTTTTAATTAAAATAGTGGGAGACATTTAATATTAAAGACCTAATATTAAATGAATATAAATTCCATAGTTTAATTATTTTCTGCTTCGTTTGTTGTTTTTGTAGATCACTCTACTAAAATGGCTAAAAATCCAATTGCAAGTATCCTTGAAC